GAGTATGGAAAAGCAAACCAGTTTCCTTTCCAGGAATCCTCTGGCTTTGATATTTTTCCAGACCATTAACAGCAGTTTCCACTCTCTGCTGCCTCCAGAGAGCTGGGTCAGAAACCTGCGTGGAAGGTGGCTGCAGTGCCGGCAGGAACAGCCCATCCTCCTGCAGAGCAGCCCCAGCTCAGCTCAGCCTCGTGCCACGGCCGGACCCTGGCTCACCTCGCCTGGCTGGGCTGCACCGGGCTGGGACGCTGCAGAGCCCCTGCCCAGCGGGCTCTGCCCCTGCCCAGCGGGGTCTGCCCCTGCCCAGCGGGGTCTGCCCCTGCCCAGCAGGGTCTGCCCCTGCCCAGCGGGGTCTGCCCCTGCCCAGCGGGCTCTGCCCCTGCCCAGCGGGCTCTGCCCCTGCCCAGCAGGGTCTGCCCCTGCCCAGCGGGCTCTGCCCCTGCCCAGCGGGGTCTGCCCCTGCCCAGCGGGGTCTGCCCCTGCCCAGCGGGGTCTGCCCCTGCCCAGCAGGGTCTGCCCCTGCCCAGCGGGCTCTGCCCCTGCCCAGCGGGGTCTGCCCCTGGGCTTCCTGCTGGCAACGCTCACCTGTGTGACCAGCAGGTGCAACTTGGACTGGAGCCTCTGCTCACAAATGGTTCCCTCTCCAGACTCTCACACCACAGTTTGCTCTGACCTTTCACAGAAAGTGTCTTAAAGAGGGCAATAAATATTTAAATATCATAAAAACGATTTCTATATAAATAAATACCAATTTAAGTCAATATTTAACTCCCTAAGGTAATAAATACTGGTGTGTGATTCCAAAATAAACAAGGCAGACCTGTGGAGAAGCTGGCACCTGTAAGAGCTGCACATGGAAACCTCCTCCTCCATGGCATGCTGGCACACACACTGCAGCCAACACTGCGCTGGCAGCCGGCCGCACTTCCCTTCCCTGACGCTCAGCCCAGCTTCTCACAGAAAAATACTTCACACAAGTAACTTGAGATGTATCAATAAAATCTTTGAAGACCACAAAACAGTACCTTTAAGGTAGGAAATACATGCAAAGGCATTTCAGCATCAAATGACTGCTGCAAAACCCATGGCTCCGCAGCAAAACAAACAGAAAGTGCTGCAGTCTCGGTCACAGCACGGGCCTGGCTTTATTGGAAGATAAAGTGTGTTGTGTTTTTTGGGATCTGACATCTAAGCTCCAACCAAGAGGACATGCCTTTTCTCCTCTTAAAGGGAATGAAAACCTTCACCTGCAGCTCAGCAAGCTCTTGAACTGAACTGAGAATGCTAGAGGTAATGAGAGATGCTGCGCTTCTGGATCCTGTTTTATTTCTGAGGATTAACATGACTTGAGGATGGATGCCCAGACTTATGGATGACATAGTATGCCCAGCTAACGCCATTTCCTAAGGTACTTGCACCAATATCTTGACTGTTTGGGGCTGACAGCTGGTAAGAGTTACTTGAAAATACTACCAACAAACATATATCAAAGTATATTCTGCTTTTGTTCTACTGCTTTCCCAGCACAGTTTCCATATTTAAGTGTTCAAAAGATGAGCCTAGGTCCTACCCAAGGGTAAATGGTTATCCTGTTACCTCCAATTTCTGCCAGAATAAATATCCTTGGAAAGGTTCATATGATGGAAGTTGGGTTTCTGTCTATACAGCCAGCTGCAGCAGGATTTGGAAGTTTATACAATTGTTTCCTGCAAAAAAACTGGTGTACAGAGGCTCTAATTGCTTTATGCACACATTCTGATGGGGTTGTACAGACTGATAGACTTCATACCACACGATTTCTATCCTGATCTGAGAACAGGCCAAGAGAGGGGGTGAGATTGTTCTGGAGTCAAATGACACAAACTTGTCTGCTGCTGCCCCAAAATACATCTATCTGTAATACAACGCTGAAGATGGCTACAGGGAAATTTCAGGGGGGAAAAAAGACAACCTGATTCAGCAGAATGCACAGATCATTGGCAGCAAGGGCTGGAACCACTGCTTAGTAACTTCAGACTGCTGCCGTGGTGTTAGAGCCTCTCCAACTAAGTGAGGCCTGCAGAATATTTACACTCCTACATCTCTTGGTTCCTGAAAGGGTTAAAGCTTATTATTAGCATATAATTTACAGGTCCCTTCTCCCAGGAAAGAAATAATGCACAGTAAATGCCACATTCGTTTTAATAATACATGTTACAGTCTGTGCCCAACATCTGCACAAAGGTAAAGCAGACAGATTTTTTTGACACGTCCCACTCTGCCATTGAAACACAGGCTTTTTGTTTTGTAAGTGATGGAAGGTTTAATCAAGAAAGCAGGCAATTCATCAATTGAAACAAGGCTGCTCACACTGCCCTGACAGCACACACATGGTTTTATACAGAAGAAACCTGGCCACCTGTCAGCAGCACCTTTTACATCAGGATATACAAATACACTGGGTGATCAATCCTCCAGCTCTTCCCATTCATTTCTTCATTTTCTTATTGTATTTTTCTTTATGCTAGATGTTGCCCTCATTCTCTGCAGGAATAGATGGGAGACAAGGCAGGCTATGGCTGTTTATACACTATCATAAAAATTTATATACCCTTAGAGTGACTTATTTCCTTTCTATTTGAGTACCATTATTATAAATAATTTTTCACTTCATTGAGGAATTTTCCCTGTATGTTATTATCTGTGCCTGCCTGCGAGGGCTGCCTCTCCCTTACTGTGCTTGTGCCTCTGATAAGCCAAAGCAATATGCTGGCAGAAGATGCTCAAGTCTGAAATGAAGGCAGTATGTAGTCACAACAACATCTTAATTAAACTGAAGGCCATGAGGAAAGACTGCGCTGTGAAATACTGAGCCATGTCTGTCAACAGGTCTGTCTGGAGAGAGGCATTCTTCTTCCAGCAGCTGCCTGCCCCAGCATGCACATTAAACCTGTCAGCTCCTCAGCATCCTGCTCCCAGCAGCACCCACAGACGTTCTGCACACGGCTTAGAACTAGTTCTGCCTTTCGGTCTGGGTGCCTGCATGGGGTGGGACGAGGGAGGCTGCTGGGCATGGGGATGATGCCAGCAGTGCCAGTGCTGCCGTGGCTCGTGCCGGGCTCTGGGCACTGCTTCCCTATCTGCACCCTGCCAGGGACTCACTCAGTTCTATGTGCCAAGAGAAGTCTCCTTAACTTCCTGGTCACCCAGTGTGTCATGGCCAAGACGGGCAATGATAAAGACTGGTTAAAAATTGTAATTACTGCTTTCAGGACCGTTTTTTCATTGACTCCAGCTCTGTGCAAACAACAACCGCATTACACAGTCCAAGGGGTAAAGGGCAGTTTTAGTGAGGATACAGTCATTCTGCCAAGATGTATTTGTGATATAAAGTAGGATCGACAGCCAAAATTCATTTTATCCTCCACAAAACATGCTGAACCACAGCTGGAATACATAGAATACTGAGAAAATCTTGCATGTCTATAGAGAGCAAAGAGAGACCATGCTGCAGCTCTTCATCCTACCCCCATTACAGCCCTCCCTTCCCAAGCAGCTCCTCCTGTGCCCAAGGCAGACTGAGGCCATACTGAAATGGGAAGAGACTGCTCATAATGGCTTTTGTTTCCCTCAGCAGCCCCAAGAACCCCTCTTCTGGCCGGGGAGCCAGGAGCAGGAGCCCACAGGCCTGTCCACAGGCAGAAGGGACCCTGTGTGTGCTGGAGGCGCAGCTCCCCCCACCCAGCACTTCCCCTGCACATCCTGGGCACCCACAGCTCGGCACAGGAGCCCTGGCAGCAGCCCAGGCGTGGCAGCCTGCTCCTAAATCTCCTGTTGCCATGGCACTGCAGCAGCACTGCAGATAGCCCAGACTGGCTGCACACGACTCCGAGGGAACAGGAAACTTGGGAATGGCTTCCAGAGCGCGTCTGGGGGCTAATCCACCTCGGCGAGGTTCAAGCACACAAAGAGGACTGTCACGGCACCTCACTGCAGCTGCTGACAAGGCAGCCGTGGGCAGGAGCTGTGCACAAAAATCCTGTCAATGCACAGGATGTGTCATATGACAAGACCCTTTCTTTGGAAAGAACTCACAGCTGTAATAGCCATTACAACACATGCACAACTCATAACAGTGTTTCTGGAGAATGTGCAATTGGAGGAAAAATAAAGAGTTATATACATGAAAATCTGCTCAAGCAAACATGAAGAACTAATGCCCTGTCCGCTTCTACAAGGCCTTGTTTTGTGCTTTGCCTGTAAGGATCTGGTAAAGTGCTCAGGCTCTTTGTAAAGCAGGCACCTCCCCAGGCTGCACCACGAGCAGAAGCCAGCACATCCTGTAGCAAGGGCAGTCCCACTAACACCCACACAGAGCTGCTGTGTTGGTGCTTTTGGTGCTTCCCCAGGAGAGAAAGCACAGCTTCCCATCCCCATGCAGAACTGTCTCATGCAAACACAGGAATACACCTTCCCTTACATTTCCAAATGTATTAGGGCAGAAGAGCAACAAGAAAAACGAGGACTGACAAGGATTACATAATTGTTACATTCCATCTCTTCAGGAACCTGAAGCTGCAGTTTCAGGCACAGATTGCCTTTTAAATAACCCTTTGATTGTGGTACATGAATTAATGCCATGTTCCCATGTTACAAGAGTCACTCACTATCAATAGGAGGAACCTGTAAATGGTACATTTTTGCCATCTTCTCTTCCCTGATTATGCACAAGCAGTATCAACTGCACAGCCCACTGAACCAACTGCTGAATTTCCAAACTGTCCTAAAATCTCCTTCAGCCAGATGGGACTAGACTTTCATCAGGCTTTGAGAGAGTCAGGTTTAAATCCAGTATCTTCTTCCTCTTGCAAAAACAACATAACAGAGCAAAACTTGTGCTAAGTGTGATTCCACCATGCCTGTGGCAGTATTTGCTCAGGTGTAATAGTATCACAAAACCCCCTCCAAGAGCAGTAGTTGGGGCCCAGCAGGAGCGAGTGAGGCAGAGCGGGGCAGCTCACCTGAGATGGCGTACAGGTTGGAGTGCTGGTGCTCCAGGTCCAGGCGGGTGCTGTGGCCCTTTCCCCGGAAGCTGGCTGGCAGGGTCAGCGAGATGTGCCTGAGGGAAAGGGAGGAAAAGGCAAACGTTACTGCAGAGCAGAAGATGCTGCTCCTGTCAGCTCACTCCAGCCCAACGACTCCAGTCAGGTTAAGCAGCAAACACAAATTCTAATATTGCTTCCAAAACTGTCTACCAACTGCTCAGCATCAGCCCCCTGCACCCCTTGGAGCCCCGGGCACTGCCAGCAACCAAGGAGTGCGGCAGAGGCCCTGCAGCCGCAGCAGGGTGTGCAGCTGCAGCAGGGTGTGCAGCCCCAGCAGGGTGTTCAGCCCCAGCAGGGTGTTCAGCCCCAGCAGGGTGTGCAGCCCCAGCAGGGTGTGCAGCCCCAGCAGGGTGTGCAGCCCCAGCAGGGTGTGCAGCTGCAGCAGGGTGTGCAGCTGCAGCAGGGTGTGCAGCCCCAGCAGGGTGTGCAGCCACAGCCAGGCACAGCAGCTGCACCCTCCAGCCCCACGAACAGCCAGCACGGCTCTGCCCCCTAACTCCAATCTGAGCTCTTCAGTGCAGAGCCCGGCCGGTGTGACTGCTGAAAAATGTCATCATTGATCCTCTGGACCGCGCTGCCACACGTAAAAAAGATGTTTCCTCTTCACAGAGGGGCTCAGTGCAGCATGAGGCACGGGGAGCAGCTCCTGCCTCACCTGATGAGAGCTCCTGGATCTGGGCAGACACGGAGCATCGCCCTCCTGCCAGGAGAACCCGGCAGCCTCTGGGTCCTGGTGGGTGCCCCGTGTGTGAGACAGGGCCCCGTGTACTCTCCAGCACTGCATCACACCCATGTCCTCAGCCAGCAGATTTTACCTACCACATCAATCATCTGGAAGTTATCTGCCTTCAAAAACAGGACATGTTTTGGGAAGAACAATGTATTTTTAGCCCTTGATGCAGATGATGGTGAACAGCACAGATAAAATAAGAAAAAGCAAAAAGCTATTTTTAACCAAAAAAAGATGGTGTGAAAATATATTTGAATTTGGCTATCAGTTTGCTGTTTAAAACACAATCCACATGAAAATCTCTGAAGCAGGGGCATGTTTGTTATGAACACACTTTAAAAAAAGGAGACCATTGCCTGTGGGCATGACACACTTCTCGTTTGATTTTTAATAGATGTATTCAAAAATATTTTCCAAGGCACCAAAGGCAGCCAGTGGAGTCCCATGGCCACTCCAGGGAAATGAACCATCGCACATCTGGCTCAAGGTGGGCACTGCCCGAGTGCCACACTGCAGCCCTCAGCTCCAGCAGGCACAGCAGCCTTCCAGCACTGCTTCAAGCCATGGGCTTGCAGAAGGCTGTGCAGCACAGCCCCTGAGCCAGGCGGGCAGCTCAGGGAGGGCAGGGAGCTCTCAGAGAGAGAGGGCAGCTCAGGGAGAGAGGGCAGCTCAGGGAGGGCAGGGAGATCACAGAGAGAGAGGGCAGCTCAGGGAGAGAGGGCAGCTCAGGGAGAGAGGGCAGCTCACAGAGAAAGGGCAGCTCACAGAGAGAGGGCAGCTCTCGCTGCCCAGCTCCACGGGGATCCCCTCTGCTCTCCCCTCCACACCGATCGACCCCAAGCCACCACGAGGAGTCCAGCTGTGGCAGGGGGTGGCAAAGGTGACGTGGAGGTGCCCAGCTGCAGACCCACCTCAGTGGGCAGCACTCCCACCACTGCCCCTGGGGCTGCCGAGGAGCACCAGCCCGGTCCGACACGGGGGTCTTGACGTGGCTGTAACAAGGGTGTGTGGAAACGGTGGCCTGCCTGCCTGCCTGCTCCAGGGCCACTTGCTATCCCCGAGGTAGGACAGCTGGGCATTCCACTACTCCAACTGCTACAGACAGCCAGAGAGATGTCTCCAAGAAGAACATTAGCTGCACAAGACAGGGCAGTGACTGCTGGATGGAAATCAGCTCTCCCCTTCCCTCTTTCTTTTTATAAAAGATGACATTGTAGGGAGGAATGGGAAACAAAGACTAATTTATTTTAAATTAATGTAAACTTTGGCCAGGATCAATATAGCTTATACCTACAAACTTGATTGCATAATGCATTTTCCTTATGTGTTGTGAGAGCCAAATCATTTTGCATTGTAGAAGACAAAAAAAAAGAGGCTGCCATTGAAAAGCAAGAAAATCCCAATTACCAAGTCCCCAAGTTCCTAAACACATATCGTGAAAATATGTGCAGTTCTGTGGCATATGGCAAATCAATTACTAGTTTAAATTTTAAAACAAAAACATGGTAAATGTGTTGCACAAATAATCAAGAACAACGGTTTGGTTTAGATTACAGTGGCCACTAGAGTTTTGAATACAATTAATCATCATTCCAGGCACCAGGAAGCCATATTGACACTTATTCCTAATTTGAATATTTAATTAGGGTGAAGTTCTTCATCAAATTATCACAGAACTGGGAGGAAAGCCTAAAAGATTTAAACAATTACTACTTTAACCCTTACCCAACTGCTCACCTGTGAGCACAACAATCTCTTCCTGTTCTGCAGAGCTGGAATATGATCAGGCAATGTGACAAGACAGTACGTAAAATGCACTACAAATATCCTGGGAAAGGGGAACAGACACCCAGCACCCCAAAGGGCCTCTCTGGAGAGGCCAGGCTGGCACAGGCTTGTGATTCTGACTGCTTGTGCTCCTTGACCTTTACCAGGGCAAAGCTTTTGGGCTCTATCTCTATCTCAGCATCAAGTGTGGCTCCTTCCAGGGCTTTTGGTTTGGGGCTCATTGTTGGTTTGGTTATTTTTAATTGAAGAGCCTGTCCAAAACATCTACCAGGCCCTTGCTGCCCACAGCTGACCTGGCACAGCGACCTGCTCCTGCCTGGGAGGCTTCCCAGCCCTGGCCCTGCACCAGGAGCTGCTGAGATGGGGCTGGACCCCAGTGCTGCTCCAGACCTGCTGTACCTCCAGCACCCCATGGGCATCCTCACTCTGCACAGCCCTGCCTCAATCGCTCAAACACCCCTTTATGTGCTGTATTAATCCATATAAGAAAATCTCTTTTAATGAGGAGTGATATACTTATGAACTCTCTAGAGTCATAATTAGAGCAAACTAATTGAAGTTGTGTTTTGACACACTTTCCAAATTCACGGGTACTGCATGACATATTCACAGCACTACTGCTGCACACCGTGGTGACAGCAAAATCATTAGGCTAATAACACTTATTTGCATTCTGATCATGCCAGCAGCGGCCGTTAAATGCTGCCTCAACCAGCACTCGTTTACTCAGAAAGTTTCCACTGAAAGATATTAACAGTAATTATTAGTACTTTAGTGAATCTCTGATGTTGAGGAATGGCAACTCACAAAGACTATCCCCATGCCAATTATCTGCCTTTTGAACTGCCACCAGAAGCAGCTTTCCTCCTCCCCAAAGATAAGCACTGAGGCAGAGTGGCACAGCGGGAGGACGGACAGTCCTGGCAAGGCCAGGCCCAGGGCTCCAGCCCTTCCCTCCACAGCTGGAGTCAAACCCTGCTGCTCCAGCACTGCTCCAATACCACACGTTTTTCTCCCCAGCATACGATAGTTTCAAAACAATTTAGAGCAAGTTTAATCACCCTCTTCACTTCAGTTACTCCTTTATTCAGCAAATCCATAGAACAAGTCAGCATGTGATGAGGAGATCCTTCAAGTGCAGGCTAAGGGGATTTGAGGTCTGTGCACATTATGGCCACTTTTTGAACATTTTTGGAGAGAAAGTCACATAAAACAGGCCCAGGAATGCCTGACATTTCCAAACGTGTTATTAAGAACTGTTTGCAGAAAGGTGATGAACTGCTTTTGAAGTGAGGGGGCAAGTACTCATAAAACAGAACAGAGGGGAAGTGCCAGATATCAAAGGATGCTTCAAAATTCATATAAAAATATCAACAATGTACAGCAAAAGCCCAATGGTAAGTTGGGCTTTGGATCCGCAGTGACAGACTGGGTGGTACAAGTGTGACACCCAGAGCAGCATCTGAACATCAGGAAGCAAAGTTTGATTTTTTCACAACAACCTGCAGAACAGCGCTGCAAATCTCAAGGGAATACCTTTCAGAAAAAAAAAAAAAAACCACCAAAAAAAAAACAACCTTACTTTTCATAAACAATGATCATGCAAAGATCATTCCTCATGAAAAACTGAGAATGGAACAATTACATTTCAAGCTGTAGAAAGCTGAAAACACACCTAAAATTAGTTCATATCAGGCTGCAGCTCTCAAGAAATGTAATCCAACATGGAAGCTTTGTTTATGGAGACTGGACAAGGCACATTTCTAAGAAAGAAGCTGCTGGGGTTCTATGAACTGGCACCAGAGGATTTGGCCACCACCCCCTGTACCAGGAGGCATCTCCCAGGCAGCAGCTCGCAGCCCCTGCCACAGCAGGTATCTGTGGTTCCAGCAGTGGCCAGATCCCAGCTACAGCATTTCTTCACAGCCCTTAACTTTGACTGTGCTGGGGCACTGAGATGCCAGAACACCTACCTCATACTCCAAAGAACTGCAATGAAAACCTAAACTGCGAGGCAAGAATCACCTCGGGTAATGGACTTCATTCCAGACAATCTATTCTAATCGTGTAAACCAAATATTTAAATACTTTTTAAAACCTTCCTGACCCTTTCCCTAAAACAAGCAACATATGGGCTTTGCAGCATTTCATCTCATTCCAAGCTACTAAAATATCCTGTTTCCTAAGAGTCAATGAGAACTGGGGGTGCCAGATTCAGCTTTTATAAAAGCCCAATGGCAAGAGAGAATGAAAACGAGAGTGAGCAATTCTTTCCACATTCAGATCTCCCCGTTTAGCTTTGCCAGCTGCAGGAAGGGAGGAGGGCAGCGCACACACTGGGCCCAGGGGTGCCTCTGGCAGCCGAGGGACACGGTGCCCAGCCCCTCTCTCCAGCAACAGCAGCTCCTGGCTGAACACACAGCCCGGTGCTGCTCTCGAGGGCACGTCATCTGCTGCAGACCAGCAACCCAAAAGGAAAGGCCTAATGCAGAATGA